AAATATTTTAAATTCCCTTCAAAATTTTTTTTTGGAAATTTCAAATTTTTTTTGAAAAATTTGGCGTTGAAACTTGTTTTAGACAAATAAAAATTTAAATATATAATTTCAATTCGAATTTAATAATAACAGTTATTATTACTGATTACCATCACAATAGTAGTAGTTACCATCAGGATGGTAAATACTACAATTCAGATGGTTTACTCAATTATTTAAATAATATTTACTACTATCGAATTCAGTTAATAGATTTTAACATAACTAGATGATAAACTCTACTATAAAATTTTCTCCGTGTATGGTGTTATAAAAAGTGTCAAAAGAAAATTGCCATTTTTGCTTTTTATTTTAAATAAATATTTGTTAACAGAACAAATATTCATTAACCATTAATAAATAATTTATTAACTGTTAATAAATATTTAATAAATCTTATCATGTTAAAAAATCATTTATTAACAGTTAATAATTATTAAATATAAACAAATCCTTCTATCAGTGTACTTAGTTAATTTTTTGTTAAATGTCTTCAAGATAAAATTGAAAAAAATATTTTTTTATTACAGAAGTTGTTAAAAAATTGGTAATTAAACTTCGTGAAGACAATTAAGTTATTTTGAAAAATTATCAACTTCTTGACATAAATTTATCGGCTGCGCAAATACTTTAGTTGTTATTAAATGTATTGTTATAAGTTATAAGTTATATCTTTTATTATATGCATTAAGAACGAGAAGACCGGTCATCTTGATGCCTATGATCGAATTCATTCGATACGAGTCACGATCTATTAGTCAGCACTAATAATACATGCATTATTATTATATATATAATTTAAGCGTGAATACTGAAATGAAAAAAGAAAATGCGTTATAAAGAAACAGGTTATTTATTTCTTAGAATAATTATTTGTTATTAAAATAATTTTGTAGTAATTAAATTTTTTATTAGTGTGTTTTTTTAACGTATGACAGTTACTATCTGGTTGTTAGCGTTGTTATAGTTTGTTATAAAACTATTGAACTTTGTTAATAGCTCTTATAAATAGAAATTTATTTCTTATCTTCTTTAAATTCAAACATTTTTGTGGGATTTTAACCAATTTTTTAAGATACTTCTAAATAAATGATTTTATACAATGGGAAATTTTGTTATCTGAAGAAGTTTTTAATCAAGAACATGTGCTACAGGACGTGAGATTATTTTTTGTCGAAATTTTAAAAGAAACATCCGTTACGCCTACAATTAAATATTGATTATTTTTAAATCTGATAGTTTTATCTAATATTTAAGATTTAAAAGTAGAAATTTTTATCTAAAAAATTTTTCTTTGATTTTGAAAAATTTTTTTATGAAGAAAAAAAAATTATTTTTTCCTTTATAATTATTAATTAATAATTGGAGTAGTTAATTTATAGATAAGGTATGATATACAATTGAAAAAAAATTTTAAGTGAGTAATTAGAAATTTGAAAAAAAAAAAAATTAATTAAATACTTTTTTAAAAATAGATAGAGAAGTTAAAAAACAAAATAATTATTTCTTCTCAAAACATTTTTTTAAAGAAAATTTATCCAGCATAATTTATTTTTTAATTCATATGTCTCGCATGGAGAAATATATACGTCGAAAATATATGTTGCATATATAAAATATATGCCGCATATATTTACGCAAAAAAAAAATATGAACATTTTTTTTTTACATAGATGCTGACATATATGTAGAGATACATGCTAAAATATAATATGTAAACATGCATATATAATATAGATGCAGGCATATACCTAGACATAGGGGAGGGGGGGGCAAAATGGGGTACTTAAGCAATCGTTATGATTTTAAGGACTTGAATACGCTGATTTTTCTCGTTTTCAGTCGTAATTACACACCTTGATAGAAATCTTCGTAGGAGTATTAAGAGCTACTTCCTAGTTTTCGAAAACTGGCTTGGAACCAATGACTTCCCGATTTTTTTTTTTTTTTAAATCATTTATTTGTAAAGTGAGAACTTAAAAATTTAGAAAAAAAAATTTTAGATGTGAATAAAAAATTATTATGATGCACAATGACGATAAAAATTACTTCACAGTAAAAAATTTTTCGTCAATTTGTAAAGTGTAAAAATTTTTGTGTAGCAAATTACACTCTAGTGTGTATAATTTTACATTCTCATGTGTTGATTTAACATACTAGAATGTAGAATTGACATTAGTTTGTGTAAAAACAGTCAGTAACACAAATATTTGTGTTAAATTTGACGAAATTTTTTTTACTGCATGTAAAAAAAATTTTTTTTCCTCTGAAATTGTAGGAAATGACGTTAAAATATATTTTAGAAAGCTAAAAAAGTTTTTTGGAAAAAAAAATTGTTTTACGAAATTTTGGGGGTACCCCATTTTGCCCCCCCCCTCCCCTACATGTAAGCATATTTGCAAAAATATATGTATATATAGACATACATGTAAGGATACCCTGAAAAAAAATTTTTAGATTTTATACAAATCTAACTATTGTATTTGTCCTCATGATGTAACTTTTCATAAATTTTGCTATATTTCGACCTAACTCGACGAACTGAGTTAGAAAATATATATGGTTCAAAAGTTTATATATGTATGTATATACGATAGAACGCGGCTTGTCACGACGATAGCGTCAACAATTCTTAAGGGATCTCAATGAAACTCAACATACTTATTCTATCGACTATTAGGAAGGTCAAGTTCAAACATGAGCTTAATCGGTTAAATATTTTAGAAATTACAGCATTTGAAAATTTTGAAATTTCGAAAATTTGATTCTGTCTCTACTTCTCCTTTAAATAACTTTTGAACGCGTCGAGTTATTCGATTCTTGTTAAATGCATCTGAAAGCTGAGAAATTAAGCTTCAATTTGTGTGCTCACATTTTTTTCTAAAGCAAAAAATATCCATCTTAGGATCATTTTTAAGAAATTTTACTTTTGCAGTCGTTTTGTCTATATAATACTGACTGAAAAGTACTGAAGTACAATAATTCTTCTCTTTCGTTATTGAACGTTATTTATTTTTTTTTGTATTCAATCCTAGTAGTTTTTAATTTTATTCATCATGATATCTACTTCCATTTCGGCTGCCGAATGGCCTTTTTTTAGTTTAAGAATGTTTTTACTCAAATCAAGAATGTAAAATTCTTCAAAATTATTTACTTGATTCAAATTAATTTTTTTTCTGTGTATATCTAGGCATGTACATTGCATTTATATGCGCACATATATGCGGAGATATTTATTTATATATGCGAGCGTATATGTAGACATATATTCTATTATCTATTGCAGAATATGTTTGCATTGGGTAAAAGACCCCATTACTGACACTTTCTTTGATTTTGGTCC